TTTATTGGTCTCACAGTGGGGAAATGTCAGTGTCGTCGTCGCACATTACAGCAGAGACAGATGGAAATAAGAGCACTCAGATTGCACAAATTAAATAGTTTATTATTGAAGATTAAAGACAATATAATTAAAATAAAATAAAGAATGAAATAAAATAAACTCTGAAGCTATGATGGCACTTGGTTCAGAAGTTTTTTACAGATGTGTTTATTGTACTTAAGCAGCGGCGAATATGAGCAGGATAATCATCAGTAATAATATCAACAGGTAAAGTGACTAGTGACAAAGCTACACAAACTCAGCGGTTCTTGTTATACATTCTCGTTGTACAGTCTGACAGCAGCAGGGAGGAAGGACCTGCTAAACCTTCACACAGCCTGAAGACATGAGAGAACGACATGTTTTGCCCTTGTTTGATGTAAACAAGGGCAAAACATTACAATTAGCTTACCCATAAGCTAATTGATGTAAAATTAGCTTAAGGGTGCAGGAAAATATCAATGAATACAACAGTCCCAGCATGAGGCAAAGTAAAGGTAGAAATGTTCGTCTGTTCATTTGCTTATTCAATCATACAAATTATTATTATTTTTTGACATAAGAAGGCATTCAAAAAAAGGCCAAGGTTACAAAAACAATGTATCTTATGTCAGTAGTGTACATGCTTTAACATAGATTTACAAACGCAATTGTGACACTTTAATGATGACAGATTGGGGCCCTTTAATGATTTTTGTTATATACATTTTGACAATAATGACTTGCGTTGTTAACAAAGTCGTGTTTGCTCAAAACGGTTGGGGAACACTAATCTATCTGGCTAATAAACTTGCACACAGAAGCTACACAATGTGGACTTTGCCGCTGGGTTTGAACAGTTGTGTTGCTGTGGAACTGAACGTGATCGAATTCTTGGTTTGCTGCTTATAGATTTTTCCGGCAGCGTGTCTGGGGTAAGGAGGTGTTGCTGTCGTAAAGGGCTGAGTGCTTATATGAGCACTTAGTCACCACAGGAGCACATGTGACATCACCCACAGGAGGAACACACAGCCCCTGATCCATCTGTCCCACAATCCCACAGTGCGTTTACCGACATGGAGAGGTGAGAACGACAGATTGTCTTAATATAAATAATAATAATGCATTGGTTTTATTTGGCGCTTTTTTGGACACTCAAAGACGCTTCACATGTCGTTATTCATTCACTTCAAACACGGTGGTGATAAACTACTGTAGCCACAGCTGCCCTGGGGCACACTGACAGAAGCGAGGCAACCAGTCTGTGCCATTAGCCCCTCCCACCACCACCAACCATTCACACACACACAAGCAAACGCAAACACATACCATACTCATACACACATACACATACACACGTACACACATTTACATACACATACACACACACACAACCCTACACCTACACCTACACACACACACACCTACACATACTATATACACACACACACACACACACACACAACCCTACACCTACACCTACACATACACACCCACACGCACACCTACACATGCTATACACACACACACACGCACACCCAACCCTACACCTACACATACACACGCACACCTACACATACTATACACACACGCACGCACACACACACTCAACCCTACACCTACACATACACACCTACACATACTATACGCACACGCACACACACACACACACACACACACACACACACACACACACACGCCTACCACTGCATATACACATGTACACACACACACACACACCATTTAGGATGATTTTTACATCACACTTGATTCTATTACCATATCTTTGACCACTGGCACGACATAGTGACTATAATCAGTCACGAGAACAACTGTATCTTTAGTAAAATATAACTAAGAATAAGATTGACAAAATGCTACAAATTGAGAATCATCAATGCGAGTGTAATTCCAATGTAAATACAAAAATTGGGCTCATTTCCCTAAAATAATGAATAGCAACAGTCTTTAACAGACCCAATGCAGAATCAAGCTCTTCATAGACCACCAGTGCCCCCTACCAGACAGTTGTGGCATTGCAGGCTGCAGTTAGAACCAGTGAATAAGGGAAACGACTTTACAGATCACATTTTTTGCTACACATATAACCTTGCACTGTGTGAGGGTCTGCATTTGCCATGTTTATAATGTTAGTCTGTACGTGAAGATTTGAACTCACAGTTGAACTTAGCACTGTTTGTTTGTGCTGGAGTTGAGAATGCCGTGGATGTGGGTGTGAGGCAGAGACAGTGAGGTGAAAGAGCCTAATGTCACTTATCAGCAACTGAAACTGAGAGAAGACTGTGGTGAAAAGTACAACAGCCCACTCAGACTGAACTAGCTCCTATACGTGACCCGCATGGCTGCCTTTCCCTTCTCAGACACTAACTCAACACATACATACACACAACTCTGCCCATGGCCCTTCTTTTCAGTTAAAGTCGGCTGCAGTGTGGTGTGATAAGTGTGTGATGTGTGTTGTTTGTATGGTTGGATGTGTTTCTGCTGCTGCTGGACACCTGCATTTCTCCGACGAAGGATCAATAAAGCATCTATCTCTCTCTAGATCTTTAGTATATGAATAGTTAACATGCAAAAACAGATAAGTGCCATGATAACGAATCGGAAAAGCTTACATTTTTCTCTTTACCGAGTAGTTTTGTGAAAAGCCAGATGTATTTTAGTGCCATATACTGTAGATAAAGTTTCACCCCTTCTTGCGCACATTTCTTCAAGCGCAACAGAACATGTTGGAGATTGTAGCTAGAGAAATGCAAAATTTGGACAACATTTCAAAACGGAGATATCTGTTTTTGCATAAGAACTCTTCATAGGATGTTTTTATCCACAGATCTACGGTTTAAACCCCAAATTTGAAATAATTTCAATCAACAAAATTGGCTTAATAGTACGTTTCCTTTCCCCAAATCTGAGCCTGTAATATATTTTCTTACAAATATATTTTCTTTCTTTAAAGGTGAGTTCTTCCGCTCTCCTGGGGATCCGATTTTTTGCTTTGATTCATCTAAATATTATTTATCAGTGTGTCATTGAACGATATTTTTTACATACATGTGACATCACTCAGCTATGTTAAAAGTCACATCTGTGGGAATGCAGGCACTGAAATCATCCATAATTGAAGAATGCAAACAGAAAGACAACTAAAGCAAAGTAAAGTAATGTTTATTTTGATCCTGCCTTTCACAGACCAGAGTCACAACGCGGTTCACAATTGGACTCATGGAGAATGCACCTTATATCCTGAATCAAATCTATAGCTTCATAATCATTTAAGCTTCCTCTGAAATCACTTGTTTTAATGTTATAATAAAAACCTCCATGTTTCAATCAGTGGACACAGCCATGCCTCAAACATACCCACGCACACTGAGATACCTGGTCTTGCCCACTAGAGGGCGCTTCAGATCCATCCTCATGGTCAAGACCCAGTTCTATGAAAGTGAAAGCAACAATCAGCAGATAAATTATTTTATAGTGTGGCCCCACGAATAAGCACATTCTGCATATTAATGAAACTTATGTTGTTTTTTTACACAAGTTTTATTTTGTGTCGGTAAAATTACATTCACTTGCAAAACCTGGGTTCAGCTTCATGATGCTTTTCTCAGACCAGAGTCAAAGCTGAGTTGTGGGCCTTAGTCTCTCACTCCACACAGAGATGGGAGCGGGGCCAGTACAGGAGCCACAGACCTACAGTAATGTACATGTTTTTAGTGGTAGGGGAAACCTGGAGTACTCGGAGGAAACCAACGCAGACACGGGGAGAACATGCAAACTCCACTCAGAAAGGCCCTGTTCAGAAACATGTCTTTGTCATTTTTCTGCTGAATTGAATTGATGTAAAATTAGCTTAAGGGTGCAGGAAAATACCAATGAATACAACAGTCCCAGCATGAGGCAAAGTAAAGGTAGAAATGTTCGTCTGTTCATTTGTTTATTCAATCATACAAATTATCATTATTTTTTGACATAAGAAAGCATTCAAAAAAAGGCCAAGGTTACAAAAACAATGTATCTTATGTCAGTATGCTTTAACATAGATTTACAAACGCAATTGTGACCGAAGGGATTAGGCTGAAGTAACTTATTTTTGCCTAATCCGATTAATTAAGTAAAGGGTTATTGTTTAGTAAGTAACGCATATTTCTTGCATCAATACCGTATCTATACATCTTTTCTTATCCATTGAAACACACTGACTCAGTTCTCTGCAGCCCTCGCTACACGACTTCCCATTTGCTTTAAATCCTTAAACAGTCTCTATCAATATAATAGGTGTGCTTTTCTTGCTGCAGTGATGTCATATAATGAGGTGCCATGGTTACAAGAATACACAGTGTCCAGTGTGAGGTAAGGTGACTGAGGATACAGGGAGCTGCCATGACCGGGTCTGGCCACTAGGGGGCAATGACATCTGAATTCAAGGACCTCCTCCGCCGTCTGTACATCCCACCTGTAAAAAGCACATGTGTGAGAGTGTCTGTGTTCATTAGTGGCTCATATATGGGCTAAATATCGATTTCTATGCTCCCAAAGCTAAATTACGCACTTTTACGCACAGCACAACAGCCGGACGGAGAGCATATTACTTGATGATTAATGTCTGTTTGTATATCTCACGAATCACCTCAACTAAAGTGTGAATTTTTCCAATAAAATATGAAAGGCACATGATCCTGACGCGCGATCGCCTCTATAGTAACGCGCGCCGCCATATAGGTAACCAGCAGAAATAAGAGGCCCCTTTGTAACCTAATCGATAGTCGAGTCGAGACGCAGACAACTGGGTCCACCACCACCACCACCACCGCACCAGCCACCACCGCACCAGCCACCGCTTTCTCTGCGTCTCACAGCAACTTCCCAGAATAGCAGCGAACGGCTTCTGCTTCGTCTCTCCGCGCTGCCTCTGCCGTGTGTCTGCGTGTGTCTGTGCGCGCCGTGCTGTGGTGGTGGAGATGGAGGAGGAAGTCAGTGCGTGCGGATTGAACAACTGTTGCTTGCTGTCTCTTTTTTGGAACTGCCTTCGAGCCCCCCCACATGTCGGGCTGCAATGAACTCACGCATGTGGATGAGTGTGCCAACGCGGAGGACCGTGTAAACTCCAGTGCGTTGCAAAGGTAAAACAAGGATAAACAGAGAGGAAAAGAATAAAGAAAGACAGAGATGAGACATGAGTGTGTTGCGGTGGGAAGGTGGACAGCAGACTATGCGTGTGCGTGAGAGCCAGACACCGAGGCGCATGTCTGCAGCGGAGAGCAGACAAGGAGCGCCTGTCTGAGTGGAAAGGCACGCTGCTGGCTTCGCTGCTGTGATCGAATAACCTGTTGAATTGAAGCTGTCACTCAGTCCGTCAGCGCCAGCCTGGCACATGCACTGGATCTCTGCGTCTATGCGAGCTCCTACCGGCATTTCACTTCACATTTGTATTCGTGCACACTCACCTATGCTTCCAAATAGTCTGTTAACTTTGTCCCTTTACGCGCTATTACTGCATCAATTATTCACGAGGCTGTTTAAAGGGGAGAATGCCGTGTAATTCTGGCAGTCTCACACGTCTGTTCACGCTATGTTTAAATGCATCATATACACCAGAGCTGCCCACACGGATTTTCCAGTCCCGAGAGTAGAGAGCTTTGACAAATTGCTTGGCTGCTCCCTGCCGCTATGGCTAATTCCTTAGGAACCGGTGGATCCAGTTTGATTGATCCCTCTCTTTCTCTTCCTTCACAAACTTGTTGAGTCGAAGCCCGTGTCGGAGCCCACACTGGAGCTTCGGCAGGTTCTTTTATAAACTCGGGAAAAGTGAAAGGAGCTGAAGTTTGCGCGTCCCCTCTTTTTTGGGACGGTGGCAGTCGTCAGAGCAGCGCGCACCCGGAGGACACCTGTGGGCTCCAGGAGAGACGCGCTGGCTCTCTGCTCCAGTCTAGACTTTTTTTGAATGTCTGTGTTGAGATGTTCTTTTTTGCCTGACAATCGGAAACAACACTTTATTTCACGCCAGGAATGATTTTTTTCTCATTTTTAGTGAAGGAGGAGATACTTGGTTCCCCCCTCTCGTCCTGGGCTGAGTTCCCACACTCTCTCTGAGCTGGGGACACTTGAAGGTAAACCTCATTTTCCTCACTTTCTATTTTACAGAATTAACCAGATTTTACTTTTTTTTTTTTTTTCATTTCACCTTTATTTAACCAGGAAAGTCCCATTAAGATTAAGAACCTCTTTTTCAAGGGAGTCCTGGACAAAAGTTACATACAGCCACATGCATTACAGATTATAAAACAGTCACATACACATTTATGTTTAAAATAATATTAAAAATAGATTCCTAAGATATCAGTTTATGACTCGATTATAACATTATAACATTTTGGCATATTTTTACTGAACATGATGCACTTCCTTATTGTCAAAACCACAAAAAAAATGATTATCAGAAGTCATGGCTCACACACAGGGGCCGGTATCAAACACTGAATTTTGAGGATAATAATTAATTTCTTAATTTCTTCACATGATGACAACAAATATGAAAACTTTCCTCTCAAGTCCTTTGTCATTTTCATTTGACACTTTCTGTTTATGAAGTAAAGACAGTTGTTTGCAGGTAAAACGTTCACACATACTTAACAACGTGCAAGCTGATAATTAACAACATAAGTTTTTTATCCCAGTGACGGTCACGTCCTTTTAACAGCAGTAACAGCACAAGCTCGAGAGTAAAAATAAGTGTGTGGATGAATAATGTGCATAGTAATTTATTTTATTTTCAATTTGAATTTGTGCAGAATTCCCGAAGCGAAATGGAGACGACAGACGGCCACTGCTCAAGTAAGTCCCGTCACAATACTTCAGTTTCAGCTGCTCATAACAACTCATTGACTGCTGCCGTTTTTGATGATTTCACTGATTCTCAAGACCCACAGAATATTAATCCCTAAGACTATGTGAGATATGAAACCAGATTCTGAAAGACTGGATTGCCTACTTTCAACAGCAAAAATAAGTTTGTTTCTCGCTGTTTTTATTGTCCTGAAATCCGCGGTCGAAAAGAGGGTCTCAGACAAATATCTCACTGGCAGTCAATGAGTGAATATACAACTGTGTGTCTCATGGAGCACCTTGGCTGAACTTGATGCAAACTTTAGATTTACCCGTATTATGTTATTTGTGATTATACAGCGTTCGGGGGGATTTTCCCTCTCTGCAGCCTTTTCCTGTGCAGATACTTAAAGCTTGAGAGAATCATGCATGATCGACATCCTGTGTGCGCAGCAGATAGTGGATATGAGCGTTGTGGTGCTCCATTGCCCTTTGCTGGTTTCCTTTGGGCTGGTGTGAGTGCGATCCTGCTGCCCCCCTCTGCTCTGCGTTCTGCTTTTGTCTGCATGTCTTCAGCAGGTACATCGACCTTCCACCTGCTGCGACTTTGGCCTCTGTATTCGGTGCTTGGGTCGCGCATGTCTGTCTGTTATTTTTGCATTGTACACTTTTTTAAACGTAGTAAGTGACATTTGCTCTGAAGGCAAGGCAAGGCAAGTTTATTTGTATAGCACAATTCATACACAAGGCAATTCAAAGTGCTGAACAAAACAAGAAAGCATTAAAATCATAAATTATCACAGAACATTAAAAAGAAAGATAAAAATATAAAATCCCTCAGTTGTATGCACAGTTAAACAGAACTGTCTTTAACCTGGTTTTAAACATTGTCAGAGAGGAGGCCTGTCTCACATCTTCAGGAAGACTGTTTCAGATTTTTGGACTGTTCCAGATTTTAGACTGTTCCAGATTGCGCCGTGAAAAGCCGTTTTTCATTTGACTACAAAGAAAAGCAAAGGATGGCATTGAATTGGCGTCTGCAGTGGTCTGAGGAAGTTGTTATCTTAATGTTCTGTTGTGAAAAGCAGATAAAGTACTGCTCTGAGGATTTGGATATTTGAATACTCACAGAAACCTGAAGTTGTTTTTTGTTATTTTTATTAATATCACTTCAATGCCACAGAATTGAAAAAGGTTTGTCTTCTGCAGTGTGTGTATTTATCACTAATTTGTGTAATTTCAGACAGTGAGAAAAATCATGAATACATAATCACAGTATATTATAATCTCTCAGACGTGGCACAGATTAACTGTTTTTAACCTGGATTTAAACATAGTCAGAGAAGAAGAAGCCTGTCTCACATTTTCAGGAAGATGGTTTCTAAATTTTAGCTGCATCCCCGTGTTTACTCCTGACTCTGGCCTTTAAGATTAGGTGATAACTATATGTACATTTATGGTTCCCTAAGATTAGGTGATAACTATATGTACATTTATGGTTCCCTAAGATTAGGTGATAACTATATGTACATTTATGGTTCTGTTGGATTAGGTGATAACTATGTGTACATTTATGGTTCTGTTGGATTAGGTGATAACTATGTGTACATTTATGGTTCTGTTGGATTAGGTGATAACTATGTGTACATTTATGGTTCTGTAGGATTAGGTGATAACTATGTGTACATTTATGATTCTGTAAGATTAGGTGATAACTATATGTACATTTATGGTTCTGTAGGATTAGGTGATAACTATGTGTACATTTATGGTTCCCTAAGATTAGGTGATAACTATATGTACATTTATGGTTCTGTAGGATTAGGTGATAACTATATGTACATTTATGGTTCTGTAGGATTAGGTGATAACTATATGTACATTTATGGTTCTGTAGGATTAGGTGATAACTATATGTACATTTATGGTTCCCTAGGATTAGGTGATAACTATGTGTACATTTATGGTTCTGTAGGAAAAGGTGATAACTATATGTACATTTATGGTTCCCTAAGATTAGGTGATAACTATATGTACATTTATGGTTCTGTAGGATTAGGTGATAACTATATGTACATTTATGGTTCTGTTGGATTAGGTGATAACTATGTGTACATTTATGGTTCTGTAGGATTAGGTGATAACTATGTGTACATTTATGGTTCTGTAAGATTAGGTGATAACTATATGTACATTTATGGTTCTGTAAGATTAGGTGATAACTATATGTACATTTATGGTTCTGTAGGATTAGGTGATAACTATGTGTACATTTATGGTTCCCTAAGATTAGGTGATAACTATATGTACATTTATGGTTCTGTAGGATTAGGTGATAACTATATGTACATTTATGGTTCTGTTGGATTAGGTGATAACTATGTGTACATTTATGGTTCTGTAGGATTAGGTGATAACTATGTGTACATTTATGGTTCTGTAAGATTAGGTGATAACTATATGTACATTTATGGTTCTGTAAGATTAGGTGATAACTATATGTACATTTATGGTTCTGTAGGATTAGGTGATAACTATGTGTACATTTATGGTTCCCTAAGATTAGGTGATAACTATATGTACATTTATGGTTCTGTAGGATTAGGTGATAACTATATGTACATTTATGGTTCTGTAGGATTAGGTGATAACTATATGTACATTTATGGTTCTGTAGGATTAGGTGATAACTATGTGTACATTTATGGTTCTGTAAGATTAGGTGATAACTATGTGTACATTTATGGTTCTGTAAGATTAGGTGATAACTATATGTACATTTATGGTTCTGTAGGATTAGGTGATAACTATGTGTACATTTATGGTTCTGTAGGATTAGGTGATAACTATGTGTACATTTATGGTTCTGTAGGATTAGGTGATAACTATGTGTACATTTATGGTTCCCTAAGATTAGGTGATAACTATATGTACATTTATGGTTCTGTAGGATTAGGTGATAACTATATGTACATTTATGGTTCTGTAGGATTAGGTGATAACTATATGTACATTTATGGTTCCCTAGGATTAGGTGATAACTATGTGTACATTTATGGTTCTGTAGGATTAGGTGATAACTATGTGTACATTTATGGTTCTGTAAGATTAGGTGATAACTATGTGTACATTTATGGTTCTGTTGGATTAGGTGATAACTATGTGTACATTTATGGTTCCCTAGGATTAGGTGATAACTATATGTACATTTATGGTTCTGTAGGATTAGGTGATAACTATGTGTACATTTATGGTTCTGTAGGATTAGGTGATAACTATATGTACATTTATGGTTCTGTAGGATTAGGTGATAACTATGTGTACATTTATGGTTATGTAGGATTAGGCGATAACTACATGTACATTTATGGTTCCTAGGATTAGGTGATAACTATATGTACATTGATGGTTCCTAGGATTAGGTGATAACTATGTGTACATTTATGGTTCCCTAGGATTAGGTGATAACTATGTGTACATTTATGGTTCCCTAGGACTAGGTGATAACTATATGTACATTTATGGTTCTGTAGGATTAGGTGATAACTATATGTACATTTATGGTTCTGTAGGACTAGGTGATAACTATATGTACATTTATGGTTCTGTAGGATTAGGTGATAACTATATGTACATTTATGGTTCTGTAGGACTAGGTGATAACTATATGTACATTTATGGTTCTGTAGGATTAGGTGATAACTATATGTACATTTATGGTTCTGTAGGATTAGGTGATAACTATATGTACATTTATGGTTCTGTAGGATTAGGTGATAACTATATGTACATTTATGGTTCTGTAGGACTAGGTGATAACTATATGTACCATAAGTAAAAAGACAAAAGTATAAATTAAAACAACACTTTACAACAGCATATATTTACTCTGGTTTTAGCATCATTTCAACAGTAAACTGAGAAAAAACAATATTCTATTATTCTTTAAGCAAGTTCCATTTTCTTTTAATTTTCAGAACAAATTTTATGAAGTTTTTATTTTCAAATCCCTTCCTACAGAACCTGGAATGTGATGCTGTCAATCGTTATCAAACTGAGGAAGAGGGCCTTGTTATACGCAACACACACACACACACACACACACACACACACACACACACACACACACACACACACACAGCGTGACCTGACACACACTCAGCCTTGTGGCCCTGATAGCTCCTCTACTTGGCATTAAGGACATGTTTTTGTGTTTTTGTGTAGATAACAATGAAATGTGTGACCATTATTCTCCGGCTCATGCCTTGTCACTGTTTCTGCCTCCTCCTCCGCTCGATCGAGAATCATTCTGAGCCTTTCTTACGCATCCTCTGAACCTTTGGGTGGGACGGTTTCATCATTTCCAGCGTACGTAGGCCTGTACACTCTGCTTTCCATTTGTCAGCAAACTACACCGCCATATTATCACAATTTAGTGCATTACTCAAACAAACCATGCCTAATATCGAGACTGTAACACACATTCAGAGTTGACTCAGCCAAAACAACACACATCTTCATTCTGTGAAAGTGTGGCTGTGGTTATGTTTGTGGGCTTTTTCCAAACATTTAAGCTTTGATGTCATCGTTGAAAATCTGTTGAAATGATGAAAATATTCTCTCTCGAGGCACAAAGGCACAACGCAGTCTATATACATTACACAATAAGTCCAAACTCAGGCCCCCGAGCCATGTGCGGCCCTCTGTGCTGTTATATGTGGCCCTTCTGCTGCTAACAAAAAGTCGCCATTGAGGGACTTTGTCAGTGTCATCCGGCCAACTTCAGCTCCACCAAAACAGTCATGCTATACCTTGTTGTAAACCTCAGACCCTCTGGAATCCATTGGTTGGCTCTATTGTTATTTACTGTCATTTATTTTATGATTGTGTCCCAACTCTCCACGTAAAATGCAGCTGTGGAGTGAATCAAAAGGATGAATCAAAACCCATTTAAAATTCCAGAATCCAGTCAATCCAGTTTTTAAATATAGGTTTTCGGCCCCAGGTCAAGTCTGATGAACTAAAGTGACTCTCTCATTAAAAAGTTTGGACTAAATTATCACTCGTCACATTTCACATTTGAGATTTGTGAATTAAATACGGGGAATGTACAGTATCTTGTATTGTTTCCGGCTGTTATCCAGAGAACTGATTCCCTGAGCGAGGCTGGTTCTCTATTTATCTTTTCTGTCTGAAAAAGGTCGTATGTCAAAGATGTGTCAGAGACGCAGAACACATGATGTGAAAAGTTGTAATGGAACCAAAGAGTTGGACTAGTTAGATTGTGTTAAAGTACATTTCTTGCTTTAAATCCTACACAGCCTTAATGACCTGCACTCAAACACTTCACTCAAAGACTTTAACTAAACTTTGAAGTCTCTGCTCCTCTTAAATATTGCATCTGTAATTGTAAACCAGTGGACCGCGTGTGTCCATGCTCCGTGCTGGACGTCCCGTAGCTGCTGCTGTGGCGGCTACAGTAATGGAAAATCCTTCATGACAAATCTGGGCCAGTCCTGTCTCCAGGACAGCGCTGCCAGGGGAGAGACGCTCGGTCACCTGAGATTTCCTCCAAGCCCGACCTGTGCAACCCGAGCTCCAAGCCAGGGATTGTGTCAGGGACAGCGTTTCCCAGCATGCCCCACTCTGCCAGGCCACCGCGACAATGGAACAATGCAGACAGAACTTGTCCAGCTAATGCAAAGTGTTAAAGCATCATGGGATGTGACTTCTCAGTGTTTTATGCATAAGACAGACTGTGAAAGTTCATAACTGTATGATCACAGTGATTCTCAATGTGGGGGGCAGCATCCCGGGGGAAGCTGGGACACAAGCCAATTTTAGTAAGTAAGTAATGTTTATTTCTATAGCGCATTTTACAGACCAAGGTCACCCAAAGCACTTTACAATGTTCAATATTGTTTTACAAGATTTTCACTGTAGTAAAATTGTAAATTAAACAGCTGACGTTCTCTTTGTTCAGTTTTCATAGTTCCAGAGAGTTAAAGTTTTGAAGCTTGCTGTTACTTACGTACTACAAACTACTCATGCAAAGTTTCTACTCAGCACTTTTTAAGACCTGAATTCATTCACAAGCTAAATCAATTAAATACATTTTTCAATTAAATTATGGGTTTTAAAACAACTTTGAATACAAATTAGAAAAAATACTGTCTACTACAGAAAGACAGAATGTTAAGGCTGTTATTTCTGTTTTATGTGGATTTTTTGATACAATAAACAAACACAGTCCACATGTTGTCAACTATCTTTCCATTCAAACAACCATTTACAGAAAACGATGGCATAATTTTGCCAATAGTTTGAAATGTGATTAATTCAGATTAATTAATTTTTAAGCTGTAATTAACTCGATTAACAGCCCTAATATATGTACATGTTTTCAACAATATAATGAATGAAGTCTTGATATAACCCACTTTGCATTAAAATACAAAATTAACTGGACTTTTGATCAATATTCTAATTTTCCAAGTGAAAAAAGTGAGCAGTGAAATATCTGGGTGCATTTTTGACGATTGAGTGCCATAAATGACAGACCTCTGGATGTCATGGAATCCTAGTCTTAAGCCAAGAACATCCACTGTACAGAGCACGCGCCGGTTCTCAGTGATGAACAGAGTTTGTCTTGGGGGATGTGACACCCGGGTCAGGGGGGGTGCCTCTTTGTGGAGCTGACCCTGATGGGGCCGTCCTGTAAGCGGATCACAGAGGAGCCGGCCCTCCCTTGGACACTGCGATCATGGCCTGTCTGTGCACGCCGAAGGTGCTGCAACCCGATACACACCCACTGGACAGAAGGATCCTACAGGCCGCTCACACACCTGCTTTTGGTGACCGCACAAACATCTCTCTCTGCACCACACATTTGGATGGGCACTGAGTTCCCCCCGACAGATTCTCAGACCTATAGGACAAATATTCACACTTTTATTCTTCAGTAATATTTCCCAAATCATCTTGATCAAGTCATATCAGATCGGAGTGGAAGACCAGTTTCCACAGTGGTACGGTTGTGTCCTTTGGCAAGACACTTCGCCTTGTCTATTCTCTCTCTATGTCCAAGTATGAGAGTGTATGTGGCTGAATGGAGAGGGTGGAGAGGGTGACTATTTAAAGGACAGTGGTCAACTCCCCCAATGGACTTGTGTGTTCGTCTCTGATGTTCGCGATTTCAACGGTTTGGTAAAGTCCTCTGCGATACCGACTGTTGTGATTTCGGGCTACAGAAGAATGCATTGAATTGAATTGAATTAGTATGTTTGCCCCAGGGCAGGTGTAGCCACAGTTTATCCTGGATGTGCAACGAGTCTGAGGTCTTCTTTATCATTCGTTTGATCATAATTAATTGGGGAAAAGTCCACATGTCGTAAAGAACTGTACCATAGAAAGGATGTTCACTAATTTACTTAGAGTGTTCAAAAATAGAGCTAAATTATTCTTTTTGTTTTAAAAGCATGCAGGTTATCAACAGTGTGTGTGTGTGTCTCAGGTAACGGCCAGTGCTCGCCTGGTAAAGAGAACTCTCGGATGCTGCTGGAAAGGTCCAATGGGCAGGCAGCTCCCTGTGGCCCCACATCACCCTGTGGTAAGTGCACAAAACATTATAATTTACTCACAGACAAGTGTGATGCAAATGTGTAATACTCTATCACTGTACTACAGTATATACTATCATATACTACTACACTGTATACATTAGTATACTATTACACAATACTCATATGATACATTATAGAATTACACTATGCTAATACTAGTATACATTTTGTTCCCTTTTTTGTGAGTTGAAAACAAATCATTTGATTCATGGTTTGATTCTTCCACAAAGGTCCAGTTCATCATTAGTTGTTTGTACTACGCCTGGTTCTCAGATACACATACTCAAAAACCCTCTGACTGACTTTAATGAAAACAAACCAAAGAGTAGCTTTAATTTGAAGAATCAAGGCATTACTAAAATATTCAATAGTTCTTTACGCTGAAAAAAGGGGACGCGTCTGGAACTACAGGGAGTCCCTGAGGCGAAGTGTGTTGGTCCCAGCTCTCTGCAGGTCGCTCACTCGGTCCCTGAGTGGTTCTGGGAATTTTCTAACCATTGCTCCCACTGTTGATTTCCTATTGCATATTCAGTCTTCCCAGCCTGGTGCAGGTCTACATTGTCGTTTGCGGTGTCCTTTGACAGCTCTTTGGTCTTGGCCATAGTGGAGTGTGAGTGTTTGAGGCTGTGGCCAGACTGATATTGAGTTCGTGAGATGGTTTGTAGGTGAAAATTACTGATTTCTCACCATAATCTTCAAATACATCCTTTAAAAATCAGCTTTTTCGGATTATCTGGACTTTTTTCCCTCCGGTTTAGCTATGATGAAAATTATAGGCCTCCATTATCTTTTTAAGTGGAAAACTTACACAATGGGTGGTTGACTAAATACTTTTTTGCCCCACTGTATAATTGATCATTCAACTATCATATCCAGTCCAATACGTTAATTTTGGAGGGAGTTGGATAAATATTAGCTTTTAGTTTAATCCCTTCCCCCAAATCAAGGGAAATGTAGAACAGGGAAAAATGTGCAGCCGTTTGACAGCAGTCATTTATACTGATGTGTGGTGCTATTTTTTGTGTGAAGTGTGTTATATAAAAGAAAAAGTGGCAACAAAGATTAGACACTCATTCTGCTCTCTATTTAGGTGTTCTACGACATGAATATTATAATACAATAAACGATTTGTATTTTTAATTAAGAACACTTTTATCATTTGTTCAGAAAAGGACTCATTTGTTAAATCATGTTGACCTGTTGTTGGGGACACATATAAGAGGAGAACAGGTGTCACTTTAAATGGAGATATTACATACAGTCCCTTTAAAGATGCTATACCTGATTCATTAAAATGCTGATGCTTATTACTACAAACAAGTTGTATTATAATCTGTAATTTAATGTAAAACTTGAGCTCATTGATTCAGCTGTGGATGAACTCAGTAAAAAGTGCTGAGTAGAGACTTAGCGCGACGCCCGCTCTCCTCCAATCACAGAGCGAGGCTGCGTCCTCTAGCCTCTACAGCGCTGCTAAACACAGTAGCATGTTAGCATAAGTGGCTATAACTCCTCTGGCTGTAACTGCAGACACAGCAAAACAGCCCAAACCACACAACAGTGAGGAAGAGAAGAGGAACTAAAGCTAAACATGATCAAAGAAGAAACCAAGCCCTGAACAGAGCTAGCTTACATCGTATCCTCTGGAGAGACTGGTCTATGGGAGAGACCTGCGGGACCGCCTCGGACTATCTACGCTCGGACTATCTACGCTCGGACTATCTACGCTCGGACTATCTGCGCTCGGACTATCTACGCTCGGACTATCTACGCTCGGACTATCTACGCTCGGACTATCTACGCTCGGACTATCTACGCTCGGACTATCTACGCTCGGACTATCTACGCTCGGACTATCTACGCTCGGACTATCTACGCTCGGACTATCTACGCTCGGACTATCTACGCTCGGACTATCTACGCTCGGACTATCTACGCTCGGACTATCTACGCTCGGACTATCTACGCTCGGACTATCTACGCTCGGACTATCTACGCTCGGACTATCTACGCTCGGACTATCTACGCTCGGACTATCTACGCTCGGACTATCTACGCTCGGACTATCTACGCTCGGACTATCTACGCTCGGACTATCTACGCTCGGACTATCTACGCTCGGACTATCTACGCTCGGACTATCTACGCTCGGACTATCTACGCTCGGACTATCTACGCTCGGACTATCTACGCTCGGACTATCTACGCTCGGACTATCTACGCTCGGACTATCTACGCTCGGGACTATCTACGCTCGGACTATCTACGCTCGGACTATCTACGCTCGGACTATCTACGCTCGGACTATCTGCGCTCGGACTATCTGCGCTCGGACTATCTGCGCTCGGACTATCTACGCTCGGACTATCTACGCTCGGACTGCATTTGGACGTGAAACTAGCGGTAATCTTTCAGTTATATATTGTGTTAGCAGTGCGTTGCTTTTGTACCATTTCATCAGTGATTGTTGTACAGCTTGCAAGAAGTTGCGCTAATGCTAATGTTAGCATATGTGTCAGATCGCAAATAAAATAAAATGGCTCCGTGGGAGGAGAGCGTAGAGGAAATGAGAAGCCTGTGAGCGAGTTGGGGGCGGGGCTAAACATTCAAACCTTACAGAAACGGGGATAGCTCCTTTAAGAACACTTGAACTTTAAACATTTGTTCAGAAAAGGACTCATTCATTTTATCGTGTTGACCTGTTGTTGGGGACACATATAAAAGGAGCACAAGCGTCACTTTATGGAGATATTACAAACAGCACCTTTAACATTAGAAGAGAATGAATATCACATTATTAAAAAGGTTTTCCTTGTTTGTGCTTGAGTTCTGACCACTCAACCTCTTCCAGCAACGACTTTAAAATACTGCCCCTCGACCAATTCTTTTTTACATCATACTCAGTTTGACAATCCATTTCTACTGAGCAACAGATAACATCCTTCTTCTCCTCTTCAATGGTATCTATTTTACGTCCTCGCTGTAGACTATTTTTCCTTAAAGCTCAATCTGTCTGAGACCGGTTGAAGTGTACTGTATGTGTATTTGATGGCGGTGTGCTTACCCGTGGCCACATGACGACAGACAGATGTAAAGATGTAAGGAGCTGAAGGACGTTCGGGTCTGCTCCGTGTTGCCAGGATACAGCTGTGAAAGACAAGGCTTGTGTTGGGATAAGTGTCTCCACCGCTCACTCTGCCCACAAGAAACATAGGGTTAGACTTAAGCTGGTGGTGTTGGCATGGACCGCCCGAGTCTGAGTCTGCAGAGACCACATGGACCGCCCGAGTCTGAGTCTGCAGAGACCACATGGACCGCCCGAGTCTGAGTCTGCAGAGACCACATGGACCGCCCGAGTCTGAGTCTGCAGAGACCACATGGACCGCCCGAGTCTGAGTCTGCAGAGACCACATGGACCGCCCGAGTCTGAGTCTGCAGAGACCACATGGACCGCCCGAGTCTGAGTCTGCAGAGACCACATGGACCGCCCGAGTCTGAGTCTGCACAGACCACATGGACCGCCCGAGTCTGAGTCTGCAGAGACCACATGGACCGCCCGAGTCTGAGTCTGCAGAGACCACATGGACCGCCCGAGTCTGAGTCTGCAGAGACCACATGGACCGCCCGAGTCTGAGTCTGCACAGACCACATGGACCGCCCGAGTCTGAGTCTGCAGAGACCACATGGACCGCCCGAGTCTGAGTCTGCAGAGACCACATGGACCGCCCGAGTCTGAGTCTGCAGAGACCACATGGACTGCCCGAGTCTGAGTCTGCAGAGACCACATGGACCGCCCGAGTCTGAGTCTGCAGAGACCACATGGACCGCCCGAGTCTGAGTCTGCAGAGACCACATGGACCGCCCCGAGTCTGAGTCTGCAGAGACCACATGGACCGCCCGAGTCTGAGTCTGCAGAGACCACATGGACCGCCCGAGTCTGAGTCTGCAGAGACCACATGGACCGCCCGAGTCTGAGTCTGCAGAGACCACATGGACCGCCCGAGTCTGAGTCTGCAGAGACCACATGGACCGCCCGAGTCTGAGTCTGCAGAGACCACATGGACCGCCCGAGTCTGAGTCTGCAGAGACCACATGGACCGCCCGAGTCTGAGTCTGCAGAGACCACATGGACCGCCCGAGTCTGAGTCTGCAGAGACCACATGGACCGCCCGAGTCTGAGTCTGCAGAGACCACATGGACCGCCCGAGTCTGAGTCTGCAGAGACCACATGGACCGCCCGAGTCTGAGTCTGCAGAGACCACATGGACCGCCCGAGTCTGAGTCTGCAGAGACCACATGGACCGCCCGAGTCTGAGTCTGCAGAGACCACATGGACCGCCCGAGTCTGAGTCTGCAGAGACCACATGGACCGCCCGAGTCTGAGTCTGCAGAGACCACATGGACCGCCCGAGTCTGAGTCTGCACAGACCACATGGACCGCCCGAGTCTGTCTGAGTCTGCAGAGACCACATGGACCGCCCGAGTCTGAGTCGCAGAGACCACATGGACCGCCCGAGTCTGAGTCTGCAGAGACCACATGGACCGCCCGAGTCTGAGTCTGCAGAGACCACATGGACCGCCCGAGTCTGAGTCTGCAGAGACCACATGGACCGCCCGAGTCTGAGTCTGCAGAGACCACATGGACCGCCCGAGTCTGAGTCTGCAGAGACCACATGGACCGCCCGAGTCTGAGTCTGCAGAGACCACATGGACCGCCCGAGTCTGAGTCTGCAGAGACCACATGGACCGCCCGAGTCTGAGTCTGCAGAGACCACATGGACCGCCCGAGTCTGAGTCTGCAGAGACCACATGGACCGCCCGAGTCTGAGTCTGCAGAGACCACATGGACCGCCCGAGTCTGAGTCTGCAGAGACCACATGGACCGCCCGAGTCTGAGTCTGCAGAGACCACATGGACCGCCCGAGTCTGAGTCTGCAGAGACCACATGGACCGCCCGAGTCTGAGTCTGCAGAGACCACATGGACCGCCCGAGTCTGAGTCTGCAGAGACCACATGGACCGCCCGAGTCTGAGTCTGCAGAGACCACATGGACCGCCCGAGTCTGAGTCTGCAGAGACCACATGGACCGCCCGAGTCTGAGTCTGCAGAGACCACATGGACCGCCCGAGTCTGAGTCTGCAGAGACCACATGGACCGCCCGAGTCTGAGTCTGCAGAGACCACATGGACCGCCCGAGTCTGAGTCTGCAGAGACCACATGGACCGCCCGAGTCTGAGTCTGCAGAGACCACATGGACCGCCCGAGTCTGAGTCTGCAGAGACCACATGGACCGCCCGAGTCTGAGTCTGCAGAGACCACATGGACCGCCCGAGTCTGAGTCTGCACAGACCACATGGACCGCCCGAGTCTGAGTCTGCAGAGACCACATGGACCGCCCGAGTTTGAGTCTGCAGAGACCACATGGGCCGCCCGAGTCTGAGTCTGCAGAGACCACATGGACCGCCCGAGTCTGAGTCTGCACAGACCACATGGACCGCCCGAGTCTGAGTCTGCAGAGACCACATGGACCGCCCGAGTCTGAGTCTGCAGAGACCACATGGACCGCCCGAGTCTGAGTCTGCAGAGACCACATGGACCGCCCGAGTCTGAGTCTGCAGAGACCACATGGACCGCCCGAGTCTGAGTCTGCAGAGACCACATGGACCGCCCGAGTCTGAGTCTGCAGAGACCACATGGACCGCCCGAGTCTGAGTCTGCAGAGACCACATGGACCGCCCGAGTCTGAGTCTGCAGAGACCACATGGACCGCCCGAGTATGAGTCTGCAGAGACCACATGGATCGCCCGAGTCTGAGTGTGCAGAGACCACATGGGCCGCCCGAGTTTGAGTCTGCAGAGACCACATGGACCGCCTGAGTATGAGTCTGCAGAGACCACATGGATCGCCCGAGTCTGAGTCTGCAGAGACCACATGGATCGCCCGAGTCTGAGTCTGCAGAGACCACATGGACCGCCCGAGTCTGAGGAGATTAGAGATTAGAGTTCAGATGAAAACTGACAGAACTACTGAACACAAACTGACTACTACTAAACATTTATTCCATTACAATATGAGCGGCACGGTGACTGAGTGGATAGAACTCTCGTCTCTCTGCAAGAAAGTCCTGGGTTCGAATCCCAATCGGAACAGGGCCTGTCTGAGCGGAGTTTGCATGTTCTCCCTGTGCTTGCGTATGTTTCCTCCAGGTACTCCGGTTTCCCCTATACCACTAAATACATGCACACTGGGTTAAATCCTCCAGCTCTGGTCCTGACCAAGCCGAGCATCAACATCTGGAGATGGGTTCCCGGGCGCTGTTACCACGGCGACCACTACGGCGACCACTATGGGGATTAATAAAGTGCACCTTTACTATCATATGTTGCAGAACTTATAATCTAACATTTACTACTAAAAATATAAAGTGTAGCCATCATTGAGAACATTTAAGGAACACTTACTCATTATCCTAAAATCTACAAATACATTTTAGAACTTCCTCTTTGTCCTGGAGGAAGAAGCTTATGTTGAAAGACTGTCCCTGAGGTGAAAGCGTTACCATAGAAACCAGTGGAGTTTTACTTTCTCATTCCAAAGTGATCAAAAAAACATTAGACAAACACCGGTTACTTTAGAGACCAATTAAATATATTTATTTTATTGTGAATTTTCTAATAAGAATCAGATTCCAATGTTATGGGTTTTATCTGTCAGATGCATTTCCTGACTCTGGTGAACGTGGAGACCTGAGAGAAGGAAGTCACGTCAGACAGAGCCATTATTGTCCCTGTAAATCCCAGAACTGGACATTCAGGATCAGTCAGTTCCACAGCCGCACACGCACTACTCTCTCGACACTGCAACTGTGCAACACAATCACTGCAAACACAACACAATCACTGCAAACACAACACAATACCGGCAAACCTCTCCAAAATATCTATAACACATTTCAACTAGCCCTCTATTCTTATCTTTTGACATTATATCTCTAAATCTGCAGCTTTGACTTTGCTCTGAGTATGAATGAAAATGTGCTGTAAATGTGCTTCGTTTTTAATTAGGTCTTTCTTTTGGAATCCATGAATTGTGATGAATGTTCGATGAAAAAGTGTCCAGTGCTTGGTCAATAATGTCTCAGCTTTAATAAGTTATATATTTGTTTGGATGAAGGTGTAACACTAATTAACTGATAATATATATTTTATGTTTTATGGACATTAATATAATATCCCCTCCCTCACCTATGGTCATGAGCTTTGGGTAATGACCGAAAGAACGAGATCGCGGATACAAGCGGTCGAAATGAGCTTCCTCCGCAGAGTGGCTGCTCCCTTAGAGATAGGGTGAGGAGCTCGGAGTAGAACTGCTGCTACTCCACGTTGAGAGGAACCAGTTGAGATGGCTCGGGCATCTGTTCCGGATGCCTCCTGGACGCCTCCCTGGGGAGGTGTTCCAGGCACGTCCCACCGGGAGGAGGCCCCGGGGAAGACCCAGGACACAGAGGGACTATGTCTCACTGGGAACGCCTTGGGGTCCCCCCGGACGAGCTGGAGGAAGTGTGTGTGGATAGGGAAGTCTGGGCGTCTCTGCTTAGACTGCTGCCCCCGCGACCCGGCAACAGATGAAGCGGAAGAAAATGGATGTATGGATGGATGGACATTAATATGTATACAGTGTGTGATTTTGATTTCTGATCGTGTAAAGTAGTGCAGCGTCGCCCAATTCTGTCGTAAAAGTATCTCCGCGGTGGATAAATGTTTGGTGGAGTTTATTTAATCATATTCTTCATTTCCTTTGTGTTCATTTACACCTCTTTTTAAAGATTATAAAAACCTCCTTCTTTGGTTTTGATAAAGTTTTGTTTGGAGTCGATACGGCTGCAGGTGGTGAATAGTTTTCCTCCCACGCACACACACATGTACACACACACACACACACACACACACGTACACACACACATGTACACACACAGATGCACACACACACACACACACACGTACACACACAGATGCACACACACACACGTACACACACAGATGCACACACACACACACACGTACACACACAGATGCACACACACACACACGTACACACACAGATGCACACACACACACACACAGGTACACGCACACACACGCACGCACACCTATATGGACATGTACACGCACACACACACCGGTACACACATATGTACATGTACAGACACACACGCACACACACACACACATGTACGCACACGTGTACAGTATATACTCAATCATGAAGCCTTTTACCTAGTCTTCCAGCTGTTGGAGGCTTCAGGCTGAGGCTGAGGCTTCAGGCTGAGGCTTCAGGCTGAGGCTGAGGCTTCAGGCTGAGGCTGAGGCTTCAGGCTGAGGCTTCAGGCTGAGGCTTCAGGCTGAGGCTTCAGGCTGAGGCTTCAGGCTGAGGCTGAGGCTTCAGGCTGATGCTGAGGCTGAGGCTTCAGGCTGAGGCTTCAGGCTGAGGCTTCAGGCTGATGCTTCAGGCTGAGGCTTCAGGCTGAGGCTGAGGCTTCAGGCTGATGCTGAGGCTGAGGCTTCAGGCTGAGGCTTCAGGCTGAGGCTTCAGGCTGATGCTTCAGGCTGAGGCTTCAGGCTGAGGCTGAGGCTTCAGGCTGAGGCTTCAGGCTGAGGCTGAGGCTTCAGGCTGATGCTGAGGCTGAGGCTTCAGGCTGAGGCTGAGGCTTCAGGCTGAGGCTTCAGGCTGAGGCTTCAGGCTGAGGCTGAGGCTTCAGGCTGAGGCTGAGGCTTCAGGCTGATGCTGAGGCTGAGGCTTCAGGCTGAGGCTGAGGCTTCAGGCTGAGGCTTCAGGCTGAGGCTTCAGGCTGAGGCTGAGGCTTCAGGCTGAGGCTGAGGCTTCAGGCTGAGGCTTCAGGCTGAGGCTTCAGGCTGAGGCTTCAGGCTGAGGCTGAGGCACTCCCTCTTTCTCCAAGGACAGAACCAGACCTGCCAGTTTCAGCACTCAGTCTTTTCCTCCTCATCAGGAGAGTTCCTCCGTCGACCTGTTGCGTTGCTAAGTTACCAGCGGCCCCTCCACAGCTCCTTTAATGATGCATTATTAATGTAAAGAAATGTTTGGGTAAAATGGAGTCAGTGATGTCGGAGGATACAGCGCCCTCTGTCTTTGTACTTGATTTCATTATGGTTTAGCCTAGTAGCTAATTTAGCTTTTTTATATTCTAAAAAAATACAAAATAAAAGTCCATGGAAGTTTAGGAAGGCTGTAAACTTACACACAAAGCATTTAACCTTGAAATCTGAAATGAAAGTGTTTCTCTTTGAAGTGGTACTTTCATATTTTATACTCCTTATTATATTAAAAATCTCGAGCTTTTAATTATGACCCACTTTAATCCTTGCCATAAGCATAAGTGCTCATGAGTTCATTTCTAAATAATGCCTTTTTGCTACTCATATAATGAATGAATTATTTAAACAAAGTTATGTTTGATAATTATATGTGTTGCAGAAGCATGTCACGGGGTTCGATGTGGAACAAAACATTCAGAATGTCAATTACACAGTCCTTCGAAATGTCTTTATTGTGAGAGTGAAGAGTCATTGTTCACATAATTATTAATGATTCAATTATAATATGTGTATTTTTATAACACATTACACATATAATAAAGCACTTTGAACTAATTAATTAATTAAATTGATGAAATGAGTAGTATTTATGATGGAAAAATACATCAAACTCACTAATTAAAGGTGTCTGAGCCTGGACCCTTCGCCCTGTGATGGAGTCTCTGTTGTGTTGCTGCTGGTGGTTGTGTATCCACTCTGGGCCCCTGGATCTCGTCTAAGAATCTGGAGGAGAATCAAAGTCAAAACATTTGAAAGGTCAAGCATACTTGTAAATAGTTTGTATTTGATTAAATTCATTCATTTCCAGAACAGAGAATAAAGCAGGAGGATGATGCCATGGAGGACAGCGGGAGTCCAGACCCAGAGGAGCTCAGCCACAGAGACCCGGGCGTCCCAGGGCTGGAGGAGGCCATGTCCCACAGCCCCAGTGCCCTGCAGGACTTCCCCAGTGTCACCACAGAGAGCGCCGGCCGACAGCCCAACGGTACCACACTCAACACACACAACACACACACACTCCACACACTCCACACACACACTCACACTGTTTCTGTGATGGAGGCGAAACCATCCGCCTCCGTGACGCTGCAGGATCATGGGTGACTCTCCACTCGACTGGTTGGGCCCAGTGACTTCTGGAGTGAGTCAGAGGTTTTCCTCAATAGTGGGTGTGGAGTTCTTGTGATTGTTTAGAGCAAAGACAAAAGCTGAGGACTGGAATTATTATCAGGGAAAAATATTCTTGGAATCCCCCATAACCTGTTTTAACTGCCACAGCCGCAGCGTTTGGATCAGATTTCTGTTTTCCAACTGGCTTCACATCAAAAGACCTGAGACACACAACCGGCGACACACACGGGTCATGAGCAGGACAGAGGCCCCGACACACAACACACACACACACAACAGGACAGAGGCCCCGACACACAACACACACACACACACAACAGGACAGAGGCCCCGACACACAACACACACACACACAACAGGACAGAGGCCCCGACACACAACACACACACACACAACAGGACAGAGGCCCCGACACAGAACACACACACACACACAACAGGACAGAGGCCCCGACACAGAACACACACACACACACAACAGGACAGAGGCCCCGACACACAACACACACACACACAACAGGACAGAGGCCCCGACACACAACACACACACACACAACAGGACAGAGGCCCCGACACAGAACACACACACACACACAACAGGACAGAGGCCCCGACACAGAACACACACACACACACAACAGGACAGAGGCCCCGACACAGAACACACACACACACACAACAGGACAGAGGCCCCGACACACAACACACACACACACAACAGGACAGAGGCCCCGACACACAACACACACACACACAACAGGACAGAGGCCCCGACACAGAACACACACACACACACACACAGGACAGAGGCCCCGACACAGAACACACACACACACACAACAGGACAGAGGCCCCGACACAGAACACACACACACACACAACAGGACAGAGGCCCTGACACAGGACGACACACACACAACAGGACAGAGGCCCCGACACAGAACACACACACACACAACAGGACAGAGGCCCCGACACAGGACGACACACACACACACACACACAACATACACACAACAGGACAGAGGCGCCGACACAGGACGACACACACGGCTCCAACAGTTATTCTGCAAAAAATTACATTAATCTTTAAATGACAACTTGACACACAGATAACTGCTGATCAAAGTGTGAAAGTTCATGTGACAGTGGTTTGGAAAGTGAGTTATATTCATGAGAAGGCAGCATTGTGCAGCTCCTTCACTTCTTTATATCTTGATCAGAAGCTAAGCAAGGCAGGGCCTGGTTAGCTCTCTGATGGGAACTTGCCACAGTGGGGTAAAGGGCCAAACTATCATTGTGTCCTTCGGCAAGACACTTCAGCCACGTTGCCGTCAATGCCTGCTGTGTGTGTGGATGATTGTTGGTTGATCCAGACTCATTCAGCACCATTTTGTTTTATGTTACGTAGTGAAAAACTGGAAACTACTTTTATATGTCGCATTTTGACTTATTTTTTCACTGGCTTTTTAAATATACAGTATCTTTTTAATACATATTCTTTGTATTCTTAGACATTATTATTTCAATAGTTTCAGACTATAAGTTATTGACATTATATGAAGTGATCTTGACAAAACTCCTAGAGAAGTCTCACTCAGTCAATAATGATAATAATAAAAATAAGATGTGACTCATGACTTTTGATTGTATTTAAATGTTTGATCGTAGTGAAGCAGAGAGTGTGGAGCAGATCCAGTAACTTCCTGTGTCTGTAGGCGACAGGCCGTTCCAGTGCAGCCAGTGTGGGGTGTCGTTCACACAGAAGGGAAACCTCCTGAGACACATCAAACTGCACACGGGGGAGAAGCCCTTCAAATGCCCCTTCTGCAGCTACGCATGCAGGCGCCGCGACGCGCTCACCGGACACCTGCGCACACACGCTGGTGAGTCTATCCACCGTCTCACAGCATAGAGGAAAAAACTGTTTAACAAGATCTGCCATTCATTTAAAACAGCTTGTGAATGGGCACAGTCCTAAAAGTATTCAACGGTTTAGTTTTCAAAGGCATGTTTTTATTGCCTTTCTCCCATCTTCAGCTTTTTCAGACAGAGAACAGTTACTGGGATCTTTCTTCTCTAAGTATCACAAAGATGGCATGTTGTGTTGTAAGATGAAGACAGCTGGTTTGTTCACTACGTTTCATGATTTGAAAACTATTTTTGGGACAAACACCATGTATTGATTAAACACGTGACGCAGCGCCGCTCTGAGCCCACATTGCTCTAATAGTTTTACACAACTCCATTAGTTTGTTTACATTATATGTATATTCACTTTGTTTATCTGTGAGCTCCTTCCTTTCGGTGAGAGGTCTTTGTGTGAAATGCCAAGGCCGGTGTGTGCGTGTTGTGTGTTTAGACACTCGTAAATCCTGACACTTTTAACTGTCACCCAATTCTTTATCATCAGGATGTGCTCTCCGCTCTCACATCAAGGTCACACCGTCTCTCTCTCTCTGCGAGCTTTTCATGCTCATTGAAAAGTACATCCTCCACATGCTTTCCATTTAGTCTACATTTCAGTGCAATATAAAATCCCTCTCCTATATAAATGACTATTTAAACTAATCACCAGAATATTGAAAGGATGGAATTTGCAAAATAATATAAAACTGTCCTGTAGAATTAGATTATTGCACTTGTCATTGGTCAGCAACAACAAAAGGCTTAACTCACACACATTAAAGACAAAACGGTTCAGGCTGAAGATAAACTCTTACTCCGCCTAACTCTAACAAAACCAAGATGAATGAAGTTATTCATAGATGAGGATAATTATATTATTAGAACTAAAACACATTTCATTTACATAATTGTTTACACAACATGATACTTATTCACATGTATATGTTTTATTATTATTATATATTATTATGATTACGTGAATTGTTATTATCATTATTATTATTATTATTATATTATTATTGCTAATAACACAAATAGTGAATGATTTATGATAGAAATTATGAATACATAATTATACTGAAAAAAATCACTATTTTCAGATAATTGTATAATATTTGTAGAAAATAAAGTACATGAAGTACATAGTAGTCGGAGACACTGAGCAGCAATGAAACATGTTTACAGACTTCTGCTGAAAGTTCACGTGTGGGCGACGTTTCTGCACAGACTGTGACAACAGAGCACTAATATAATAATAATATTATATTATAATTACAATGCTAAAGCACTAGTATTATAATAATCTAATATTATAATTACAATACTAAAACACTAATATTATAATAATCTAATATTATAACTATAATACTAAAACTTTATGCGCTGCCTTCTGTTTAAAGAAGCTATACCCGATTTTTTTTCTAAGTAGTTCATAAAAAATGCTTTTTACTACATACAAGTTGTATCATAATACATAATTTAATTGAAAACTTGAGGTCATTGATTCCACTGTGTATGAAATTCAGAATCAGATCAGAATCATTTTTATTGCCACGTAAGTAACAGGAGGTCACAGACTTGAAAATTGCTTTGGCTCAGTGCAACAGTCAAAAAGAGATAATAAAAATAAGAATAAAAAACACTTCTAAAGAATACATTTAAATTTAAAATAGAGTTACAGTTACTATTTACAATATACAAGTGCACATGGTGCACACAATGTAAGGTGACAGCAGTACAGTGAAGTAAAGTGACGTATGATGGGCAGTAAAGTGACTTTATAAAGGGCGGGGGGACAGGTTAAGAAGTGTTCAAGAGTCCAACAGCAGAGGGGAAAAAACTGTTCTTGTGGCGGGAGGTTCTAGTCCTGATGGACCGCAGCCTCCTGCCTGAGGGGAGTGGTTGGAATAGTCCATGTGCAGGTGAGAGGGGTCGGCTGTGATACGACCAGCCCGGCCTCGAGCTCGGGCGACGTACAGGTCCTGCAGCGATGGAAGGCTGCGGCCGATCACTTCCTCTGCAGAGCGCACAATGCGCTGTAGTTTCTGTTTGTCCCTGACTGTGGCTCCAGCGAACCACACGGTGACGGAGGAGGTGAGGATGGACTCGATGATGGCCGTGTAGAACTGCACCAACATCTGTGCAGGCAGCTTGGCTTTCCTGAGCTGCCGCAGGAAGTACATCCTCTGCTGGGCCTTCTTGATGAGGGAGCTGATGGTCGGCTCCCACTTGAGGTCCTGGGTGATGGTGGTGCCCAGGAAACGGAAGGACTCCACAGAGGGATGGGGGAGTCCATCACGGAGGGTGGGGGCGGGGGGGACAGTGCTCTTCCTGAAGTCCACAATCATCTCCACTGTCTTCTGGGCGTTCAGCTCCAGGTTGTTACCACTGCACCAGGACACCAGCCGGTCCACCTCCCTCCTGTAGGCGGACTCATCGTTGTTGGAGATGAGTCCAATGAGGGTGGTGTCGTCCGCGAACTTGATCAGCTTCACGGAGTCGTGGCTGGAGGTGCAGTGGTTGGTGTACAGGGAGAAGAGCAGGGGAGAAAGAACACAGCCCTGTGGGGCTCCTGTATTTATAATCCGAGAGTCCGAGACATTCTTCCCCAGACGCACTCGCTGCTTCCTGTCCGTCAGGAAGTCAGTGATCCACCTGCAGGTGGAATCGGGCACGTTGAGCTGGGAGAGCTTGTCCTGGAGAAGGGATGGCAGGATTGTGTTGAAGGCAGAGCTGAAGTCCACGAACAGGACCCTGGCGTAGGTCCCCGGGGAGTCCAGGTGCTGTAGGATGTGGTGGAGGGCCAGGTTAATGGCGTTGTCTACAGATCTGTTGGCTCTGTAGGCGAACTGCAGGGGGTCCAGGAGGGGGGAGGTGAGGGACTTGAGATGGGAGAGAACCAGGCGTTCAAATGACTTCATGACGACAGACGTAAGTGCTACAGGTCTGTAGTCGTTGAGTCCTGTGATCCTGGGCTTCTTCGGGACGGGGACAATGATGGAGGATTTGAAGCAGGCCGGGACATGGCAGGACTGCAGAGAGGTGTTGAAAATGTCCGTGAACACAGGAGTAAGCTCACTGGCGCAGTGTCTCAGAGTGGCCGGAGACACGTGGTCCGGGCCAGGAGCTTTGCGGGGGTGCAGCCTCAAGAAGAGTTGTTTAATCTCTTTAGCGGCTATTGTTAGGCTGGGGGCAGGGCTGATGGGTGGGTCGTTAGAGTAGTGGGGGGTGGGGGAGGGAGAGGTGTCAGGGGCAGCATCAAAGCGACTGAAAAATATGTTCAGATCGTCAGCTAGCTTGTGGTCGTCAGCACAGGGGGGGGCTTTGGGTTTGTAGTTGGTGATCTCCCGTAGGCCCCTCCAGACAGAAGCAGTATCGTTGTTACCAAACTGCTCCTGTAGTCGTTCTCTGTGCCGGGACTTGGCTGCTTTCAGTTCTTTCCTGAACTGATATTTAGCTGCTTTGTAGCCGCTGCGGTCCCCCTCCCTGAAAGCAGACTCCTTTGCTTTCCTGAGCTGCCGGAGTTTAGCAGTGAACCAGGGTTTGTCATTGTTATAGATGACCCTGGTCCTTGTTGGAATGATGCTATCCTCACAGAAGTGAATGTATGACGTCACAGTGTCCGTATATTCATCCAAACTGTCTGTGGCAGCTCTGAAAAGGTCCCAGTCTGTAGATTCCATGCATGCGCGCAGCTCTTCCACAGCTTCATCAGACCACACTTTGGAGCTCCTCACTGCAGGTTTCGAGAGCTTTAGTCTCTGTCTGTAAGCAGGAACCAGATGTATCATGGAGTGATCTGAGAAGCCGAGGGCTGGCTTGGGAACAGCGCGAAAAGCTCCGCGCACGGTGGTGTAACAGTGATCCAGAGTGTTCTCCTCTCTGGTCGGGCATTTGATAAACTGTCTGTATTTGGGTAATTCCTGGCTCAAGTTTCCCTTATTAAAATCCCCCAGGATAATAATCAGAGAGTCCGGGTATAAGCGTTCCATACAGAGTACTTGCTCTGCGAGTGCGCGCTGAGCCTTGCGCGCGTACGCGCATGGCGGTATGTAAACAGAGGCAAGAATGAATGAAACAATTTCGCGCGGGGAGTAAAATGGTTTACAATGAATGAAAATATATTCCAGAGCAGGAGAGCAGTGCTTGGAGATCACTGTCACATCGTTACACCAGTTTGTATTGACGTAGAAACACAGCCCTCCGCCTCTGCTCTTCCCTGAGAGCGCACAATGGCGATCCGTGTGGAACAGCCCAAAGCCCTGCAGCTCCAGAGCGCAGTCCGGGATCCGCTCATTTAGCCAGGTCTCAGTGAAGCAGAGGACACAGGATGTGGCGAAGTCCTTGTTTCTTCTCATGAGCAGGCTGAGTTCGTCCATCTTATGGCCCAGTGAGCGTACGTTGGAGAGAAAAATGCCGGGGAGAGCCGTGCGCGCTCCTCTCCTAAGACGCACGAGCAGGCCTCCGCGCTTTCCCCTCTTACGGGCCCACACTTTTTTGGCTAGAACATGAACTAAATCAGCCGCAGATGCCAAGAAAACAGGCATTAGGTCCATGGGAACGGTGGGTCGGATGTTCATAAGTTCCTCACGGGTGTAGGAACAGCCAGATGCGCAGTTAAAAAGTAAAAACAAAAGAAAAAGAGAGCAGCAAAGAGCCATGTCGACCGTACGAGGCGCCATCTTTGAAGATTGAGATTGATTGAGATTGAGGCAGTGAAAAGTTCTGAGTAGAGTCTGAGCGGGACGTTCTCCTCTCACAGAACGAGCAGTGAACAGCCTGTGTCCTCTAGTCTCTACAGCCTGTGTCCTCTAGTCTCTACAGCCTGCGTCCTCTAGTCTCTACAGCCTGTGTCCTCTAGTCTCTACAGCCTGCGTCCTCTAGTCTCTACAGCCTGTGTCCTCTAGTCTCTACAGCCTGCGTCCTCTAGTCTCTACAGCCTGTGTCCTCTAGTCTCTACAGCCTGTGTCCTCTAGTCTCTACAGCCTGTGTCCTCTAGTCTCTACAGCCTGTGTCCTCTAGTCTCTACAGCCTGTGTCCTCTAGTCTCTACAGCCTGCGTCCTCTAGTCTCTACAGCCTGTGTCCTCTAGTCTCTACAGCCTGTGTCCTCTAGTCTCTACAGCCTGTGTCCTCTAGTCTCTACAGCCTGCGTCCTCTAGTCTCTACAGCCTGTGTCCTCTAGTCTCTACAGCCTGTGTCCTCTAGTCTCTACAGCCTGTGTCCTCTAGTCTCTACAGCCTGTGTCCTCTAGTCTCTACAGCCTGTGTCCTCTAGTCTCTACAGCCTGTGTCCTCTAGTCTCTACAGCCTGTGTCCTCTAGTCTCTACAGCCTGTGTCCTCTAGTCTCTACAGCCTGTGTCCTCTAGTCTCTACAGCCTGTGTCCTCTAGTCTCTACAGCCTGTGTCCTCTAGTCTCTACAGCCTGTGTCCTCTAGTCTCTACAGCCTGTGTCCTCTAGCCTCTACAGCCTGTGTCCTCTAGTCTCTACAGCCTGTGTCCTCTAGTCTCTACAGCCTGTGTCCTCTAGTCTCTACAGCCTGTGTCCTCTAGTCTCTACAGCCTGTGTCCTCTAGTCTCTACAGCCTGTGTCCTCTAGTCTCTACAGCCTGTGTCCTCTAGTCTCTACAGCCCGTGTCCTCTATAGTCTCTACAGCCTGTGTCCTCTAGCCTCTACAGCCTGTGTCCTCTAGTCTCTACAGCCCGTGTCCTCTAGTCTCTACAGCCTGTGTCCTCTAGTCTCTACAGCCTGTGTCCTCTAGTCTCTACAGCCTGTGTCCTCTAGTCTCTACAGCGCTGCTTAACACCAGGGCTTCGACTTCAAAATTCGAATATAATTCTAAGATAAAAAATATATACATATTTGAACAAATATTAGACAACCCTTATAATTATAAATGTATTTAATGACTGCAAATAAAATAGTTAGCTCCCAAAGGTTTCATCGGGACGTGCTAGGCAGGTAACAGCTAAGCTAGCTAGCTGTTTCATGGTAACTTCCGGGTTTTTCGCGATCGCTTTTTGTCACTTTAAAACAGTATTTTTGTCATGAAAACGTTGACAGCAAATTCTAAAATCGTCCGTGCATGTGTGTTAAGGATGTATATGTGTACTGTATTGTCCGATTGACGTTTAAAGTGTTTCTCACCCCCGCTCCTCGGAGCTTACGTCACTCACATTTCCTGTTCAAATCTTCCTCTAAATGGGCGTGGCCTGGAGGACTAAAGGAGGCGTGAACGAGACTGGGCCATTTACATTGCTCTGGGCGGGGGGCTTCAGACGTCAGGTCCAACTTCTGTGCCAGTGTTGGCGCCAGATTCAAAATTCAAATGTAGTAATACAGGTCGCCAGCAGATGGCGCCTCACAGATGGTTTTAGGCAGAAAGTCTAACTTTCAACTAATTTGCACCAAAGTGACAAGATTATGACCAGGATATGTAGACAACACTATTGGACACTCATTTATACCGTTTATCAGCAAAAAAAAGTGGATTTGAGGGTGAGTTGTCCTTTAATGGTGTTGATTGATAGATATGTATTTGTTTATTGAGCGTGGCTAGCTCCGCTAGCTTCTCTACACAGACAAGTGTGCAGAGAAACTGCACAATGTAGTGACAGGCGCTGATAGCTTGTTGTACTTGCAAAGTAATGGCAGTATTGTACACACCTGAATTACAAACAGAGATTGCATTGGGGCAGCGGTCATTATTGGTTTGAGAGTTCTGCTATCAAGAAAAAATGATCGGAAGAATTGCATTCAAGTCAATGGAGTGCTGCTGCTGTGAGGAGCTGTATAATAAATTATAATTAAATATTAGAATATATTCTAATTTTTGAATTAATACATCCGGACGCGAAACTAATGGTATTCTTTTACTTATATATTGTGTTAGCAGTGCATTGCTTTAGTACCATTTCATCAGTGATTGTTGCACAGCTTACAAGTTGCGCTAATGCTAATGTTAGCATATGTATCAGATCGCAAATAAAACGAGGTGGCTCCGTGTTATGAGAGCGTAGGGGAAATAAGAAGCCTGTGAGCGAGTTGGGGGGCGGTACTAAACATTCAAACATTGCAGAAACGGGTATAGCGCCTTTAAAGCACTTGTTTTACCGGGTTTTACTCAGATCACAGACTTGGCTGAAAGTGGAGCAATGTTGGACGGTGTCGTTCAAAGACCACAGTCCCCAAACTGACTCTAATCATTCACTGTAACAGCAGCTACAGCCGCTACAGCCGCTGCAGCGGCTACAGGCAGCGGCTACAGGCAGCGGCTACAGGCAGCGGCTACAGGCAGCGGCTACAGACGCTACAGCCACTACCGCTGCTACAGCCACTACAGCTACCACAGCCACTACAGTCACTACCGCCGCTACAGCCACTACAGCTACCACAGCCACTACAGTCACTACCGCCGCTACAGCCACTACAGCTACCACAGCCACTACAGTCACTACCGCCGCTACAGCCACTACAGCTACCACAGCCACTACAGTCACTACCGCCGCTACAGCCACTACAGCTACCACAGCCACTACAGTCACTACAGCTACCACAGCCACTACAGTCACTACCGCCGCTACAGCCACTACAGCTACCACAGCCACTACAGCTACCACAGCCACTACAGTCACTACCGCCGCTACAGCCACTACAGCTACCACAGCCACTAGAGTCACTACCGCCGCTACAGTCACTACAGTCACTACAGCCACTACAGTCACTACCGCCGCTACAGTCACTACCGCCGCTACAGCCACTACAGCTACCACAGCCACTAGAGTCACTACCGCCGCTACAGCCACTACAGTCACTACAGCCACTACAGTCACTACCGCCGCTACAGTCACTACCGCCGCTACAGCCACTACAGCTACCACAGCCACTAGAGTCACTACCGCCGCTACAGTCACTACAGTCACTACAGCCACTACAGTCACTACCGCCGCTACAGTCACTACCGCCGCTACAGCCACTACAGCTACCACAGCCACTAGAGTCACTACCGCTGCTACAGTCACTACAGCCGCTACAGCTACCACAGCCACTACAGTCACTACCGCTGCTACAGTCACTACAGCCGCTACAGCCACTACAGCTACCACAGCCGCTACAGTCGCTACAGCCACTACAAAGGCTACAGCCACTACAGCTACCACAGCCACTACAGCCACTACAGTCACTACAGCCGCTACAGTCACTACAGCCACTACGGCCGCTACAGCCACTACAGTCACTGCCGCCACTACAGTCACTACAGCCGCTACAGTCACTACAGCCGCTACAGTCACTACAGCCACTACCGCCGCTACAGTCACTACAGCCGCTACGGTCGCTACAGCCACTACAGTCACTACAGTCGCTACAGTCACTACAGCCGCTACAGTCACTACAGCCGCTACAGTCACTACAGCCACTACCGCCGCTACAGTCACTACAGTCGCTACAGCCACTACAGTCGCTACAGCCGCTACAGTTGCTACAGCCACTACAGCTACCACAGCCGCTACAGTCGCTACAGCCACTACAGCCGCTACAGCCGCTACAGCCTCTACAGCCACTACAGCCGCTACAGCCACTACAGCCGCTACAGCCACTACAGCCGCTACAGCTATGATGTTTAAAATAACAGCATTTCTCATAATCTCATTTATCTTATCATCTACACCTCATGTTTTCCTTCTCCCAGACACGCAGTCTCCCAACCGGCTCTAATCCTTAAACAGCCGTTATAGTTCTGAGGTTTAAAATAACAGCCTTTTCTCATCCACATCTCGTATATTCCTCATGGAGACGAGCGTATAGAATCTATAGAGATGACCTGCTCACTTCTCCAGAGTGTGTTAATGTCCCTAAGTGCACTCTGTTTCTCTGTTTCTCAAAGTGAAAATACAGCACAAATATTATCTCCCACCGCGGTACAAGTGATGAGTGCACGTCTGGATCGCAGCAGCAGCTTTCGGCCGCTGCAGCTCTCCGTCTGAGTCAGCAGGCAGTTCACACGGGGCAGGCCTGTTTACACACCGGCACTGTCATTTTCTTTTAACAATGCTTCTCAAACTGCGGTGCTGTGACCAATATTGTCAATACTCACAAGTCTTACCTCACAAGGCTTCTTTTTCATTTTATGTGCGCTCAGATTTTTTTATTTTTATGGATATGACTGCATGTTTATTTATCTGGGTCAAATAGCACACTTGAATGTTGTAGTTTAAATCCAATGTAAATATATGTATTTAGTGTTTCACAAATATTGCGCGCATTGCTCATAACTTCTGTAGAAAAACCGCATTTAGCTTTAGATGCTTTAAGATTAAGTTTAACATTAAGATTAAGAGATTCGTTATTGGTCACACAGTGGGGAAATTTCAGTGTTGCAGCACAAGTTATAGAACAGTAGCAAAGAGGAGCATGCAGCACAAGTGAACAATAGCTATACTAATCGAAATAAAACGCAGTCTCTAACTCTAGCATCAATAACAAATATAAAATCTCTACCTTGAAAATAATAATAATAAAAAAGAAGTTTAAAAGTTTTACTTTTGGCAAAATAAGAGGCAAGTTTAAAGGACTGTGTATTCTACTGCAAGCAAAGTGTAGTTATATGTTAGCATCTGTACATGTTAGCATCTGTACATGTTAGCATCTGTACATGTTAGCATCTGTACATGTTAGCATCGGTACATTAACAGCAGCTTTAACTTTGTACATCCCACTCATGAATTCATATGTGTGTGTTTTTTTTTTTTTTTTCTCTGGGGAAAATGAATGACCAAGATTGAGCTCCATCTCCACATTATATCAGCTGGTTCTAGGAGGTGCCATTTTAAGATGCCACTTGTTTATGTGTCTTTCACTTGTGTGCAAATGTCGTGGGCAGAAAGCAAACAAAGTGAATGACTGAATGAATCACAGAAGCCTCCGTAAGCCTTTACCAGCTTCTTTCCTATAGTCATCGTGTGCCCAGTGTAACGGCTATCGCCCACTGCAGGGGAACATCCGTGATCTCACTCATTCTACTTTGCACTTCTACTACGTCACACTATAAAACTTCACACTGTCTGTAATTATCTTGTTGGATTGACCCACGCTTTTGTTATGTGCAATGAGGAATTAGATTAACTTTTGTCTCCATTGAATGTCTTCACTTTTAGTTGGCAAACCGCACAAGTGCAACTATTGCGGGCGGAGCTACAAGCAGCGCACCTCACTGGAAGAACATAAAGAGCGTTGCCATAGCTACCTGCAAGGAATTAGCTTGGACCCTGGCGTTCACACCGCTCCATATACAGGTAAACAACAGCCTGATCCAAGGTCATCTTACAGAAAAATACATATTAATTAAACGGCTTTTTATCGGGTGTTCTTTTAGTTTGTTAAATTATTGCGTTGATATTTTAATCAATTCATATGTTGTGTCCAGGTGAAGTTCCTACAGAGGCTAGGCTCATGGCCGAGTCCAACGCCATGGCCAGTTTTGACAGACCTCCTGTGATAGAACGACTCCACACTAACGTGGCTAAAAGGAAGAGCACCACGCCTCAGAAGTTTGTTGGTAAATATTCACACAAAGAATGAACTAAAACTACTCTTTACAGCAACAACTACACACATACTCAACATCCAACATGACAAAGGCACAATGCGTAGATTTGTCTGTGTGAGATGCATTGGTGTGATTGCTCCCCCACACATTCAGACTCAAAGGGACACTCGATGTTTTCACTTGGTTTTCACTTAGTTTTCACCAAAGATAGTATTTACCACAGTAATAAACGTGAAGATTGAGAGCAGTAGGACAAGCGGATGATTGTCAGGCAAGGAAAATGTTTTCTGTGGTTAGGTACACCTGTAACACTGCCATGGCCCTTATCAAGTGAAAACAACTCACCGCTTCCCTGTTCGGGAGTGGTTAACCAGCACTCAAGACGGATGGGGCTTTCCACTCTGACTTAAAGGACATTGAAAAAAGAATGTACAACTGAAGGAGCAAAAATATCAGCAAGATATGAACAAATCAGTAGTTTTCATGTGGTCTCTCTCTGTTGTGCAGGCGAGAATCTGATGCGCTACACTTTCCCTGATATGGGCTACGACATGGGGCTGAAGTTTGACAAGCAGGCTGAGCTACTGCACTCGCACATGATGGAGCCCCCCCTCAGCTCGGCCCTGTCGTACCTGGGAGCTGACAGTCTGCGGCCCCTCATGCACCACCCCAACCCCCATGGCGTATCGATGGTGGACGTGGTGCCGATGATGAACCCCATGTTTCGAGTGCTGCCCATGGGACGGAGTGAGCGTCCTGGGAACTGTGAGCCCCTACCTCCACCCCCTCCCTCAGAGTTCCCGTCTCATCCCACCCCCAATGGCCCCTTGAACAGGCTCAGCAAGCCGCCCCAGGGCAAAGACTCACCCAACGTCAGCGGAGAAGAGACGGTGGACTCAGCTCGCAGCAGTCCCCAGGAGCGACATGCACATCCAGAGAGAGAGCGTCCGCCCAGTGGCAGGTCCCAGCCCAGCCCTGCCTTTGCCCTGGGGGAGCGGGGGGTGGAGGGGTCCCCCAGAGCGGTAAGAGCACCAGGGATCCTGAGGATGGCCACAGAACACTCCTCTCACCAGGACGGCATCCGTGTGTTTGGGCAAGAAGGAGAGATGCGAGCGTTTCAGTGCAGCCACTGCAGGGTGCTGTTCCTGGATCATGTCATGTACACGATCCACATGGGCTGTCACGGATACAGAGATCCTCTGGAGTGCAACATCTGTGGGCACCGCAGCAAAGACCGCTATGAGTTTTCCTCTCACATCGTGCGGGGCGAGCACACGTTCCACTGAAGCTGATGAAGAAGTCACACCAGAAAACCTCAGTCTACACTTGAATGCACTGGAGTGTAGCACAATCACTGACTGCTTTAGGCTGCTGTTGTGAATACTGCTGAACAATCATATGAAGGTATGGCCAAAGACACATTTTATACATATTTAATTACTTTGTGTTGTTTAAAAAAAAAAGGTAAAGTTTCCCTCTTCTCCTCTTTGCTATGTCAGCAGTGCAGGCTTCTAGACAGAATCAACTGCTTTGCTACAGTTATTACACAGTTGCTAATGAAAAGAACTCAGTTATGTTGTATTCTGTTCTCCTCACATTACTGTAACATTAGAATAGATTAGCTCCAAAACTTTGCACTGAAAAGTCCCACGCTCAAATGCATTTACTTTGTTTCCAAATAGAACCAGCCTCTTTTAACTTCTGTCTCATGGACCAAATGCAAATATCACTAAGTAAGAGTTATGATGCTGAATGGCTCGTTAAGGATGTCACAATTATAATGATAGTAATAATCATAATAATAATAACAGATTTTATTATAAACATTTAAGACAACAACAAATCCCAACTCCAACTTGATCATCTGATGAACTTAAACCTGGAACACAAACCTTCCAAGGGTTCAGTTAGCAGACCATTGTTGTTATCTCTTCTTAAAGTACATATATATACTTAGCACCAGTGTTATCCGCGAGTGTAACGTCAGCTTATATTCAGGCGTTAGAGCTTTACAAACAGCCTTCGTGGTTGCTTCCGTCGGTGGCTCCTCATATCCAGCCCGGCCCTGACCCTTCCCCTACACACATTCTGAAAAACAGTCTTATCAGTGGCTGCTTTATTCATATCGTCCACATTACACACTTCAGATGATATTATTTCCCGGCACCCTCTGAAAGACGGTCCCTGCAGCTTTTAGTCTCAATGATCAATTTCTTTTGAAAGGTGAATGTATTGAGAGTGAAGAGAAGCGAGGAAAGGCACAAAACCCGAGTCCATACTCTTTTTGTGACTATATTGTCCGCACTCAGCTTTTCTTTTTACGGCTTCAAGGTAACTCGTCTGCAGCGCCAATAAACATTTGTTAATATCCCGATCTGATCTTTGTGAAGTCGGCGATTGGGGTCTCGCGGGTGAACTGCAGGTTTTGTTAACTAATAGATTCCAGCGTGTTGGGTCCAAGTGTGCGCCTTTACGTCAATGGACACCAAAGAGAAGACGAAAGAGAGATGTGCAGTGATAGGCCTTTCAGCTTTGTAGCCTGCTTTTTTCACTATAACCAGTCATACAACTCAGATAAAACACCCGGTATATGCTCTGGAATCCTGCGACGTGCAAAAACAGGTCGTGCTGATTTGATAGATGAGGTTTGACCTTTTAATGTTTGAAAAGAATATCAATATTTAGTGTTTTGACAAATTGTTGGCGCGATCAACACTGTCCTGATCCTGCTTGAGAGATTTTGGGCAGCAGCCGTTTCATCTAATTTGGGAAACACTTTATTCTAGCACTCACTAACTAACAGCTAATTAAGTGCTAAATAGTGTATTAATGTATGGTTAATTAGCTCTTAATTGGTATTTATGAAGCACTTATTAGTCCTTTTTCTACATGGCCTTATTCAACATCTAACTCACTACTAACTGACACTTTCCCATTTATTAATTCTTAATCACTGCTTATTAGCCAGAAATTACATAGTTATTATAGTGTTAATAATATACATCTGGGAATATGGGTCTTATTAAGCGTTAATTATAAACAAACACAAATAACTCTATCTCATTATAGTCAATTTAACTCTATAACAACTATGTAATTTCTGCCTAATGAGCAGTAATTAAGAATTAATAAATGGGAAAGTGTCAGTTAGTAGTGAGTTAGATGTTGAATAAGGCCATGTAGAAAAAGGACTAATAATTGCTTAATAAATACCAATACAGAGCTAATTAACCATACATTAATACACTAATTAGCACTTAATTAGCTGTTAGTTAGAGAGTGCTAGAATAAAGTGTTACCGTAATTTGTTGCGGTTAAAAACATACATTGGATTTACACTTGGGGTGTCCAAACATTTTAGTAAGAGCCACTTTAGTTCACCAGACTAGTCCAGGATCCGACATCACTGACTGAAAAACTGTCTTGAGCATCAAAATTATCTATAACTGAGCTGAAGTTGGCTGAATGACACATGTTGACCATCTCACCAGCTACAGTAGCACCATTAACAGAAGTTTGTGACACAATTAAAAACCCGGTCAGTAAAGTATGGACAAATAAAGTCAAGGACTGAATTCCAGACGTACTGGGCTTTAAAAAGAGGTACGACATGTCTATAGTGGCTGAGCTGAAGTTGGATGGATGACACAGTGAACTTGTGTTTATGATCTCAAAGCCTGCTTCGGGTTAGCAAGGCACAGGGCCACATAAAATGACACTGTGGACCGCAATTGGCTCCCGGGCCTGAGTTTGGACACGCCTGTTTTAAGGGCTTTGTGTAAATGTCTTTTCTGTTTCTCCAACATTTGTAAAGAAAGTTCTTTCCCTGAAGCCGGTCACAGTAGGGATTGTTTACAGCTGTTTTGCGCTGAAAACGTGTGTGATCATTTGGGATGTGTGATAAACTGGATATCAGAGGACGCCGTATCGGACCCGACTCAAAGCTGTTCGAACCCATGAGACGGTTGCTTTAGATTTCTCTTTTGAAGGAACTAAAGAGGAATTAGTTCAGCACAAAAAGTCAAAATACTGTGTAGTCGTCACTTTTACCACAACACAGACAACACATATCAACAGCATATTCGAAAATACATACATAAATAATTAATAGTGCTTTTTTTATACAACATTTTACAAAACTTCCATGTTTTTATGACAAAGCCCAGTCTCAACAGATTAGACTTGATGATTGATGTTGAAAGAGGCTGAAGAAGACGATTGGCCGCCTTGGTTCTGTCAGTCGGTCCCAGGGCAGCTGTGGTCATAGAAGCAGTTTATTGTTACTGATCTGTCTGCGAAGGCCATCAGTAACTTATCTGGACTTATCTGGACTTATCTGGCCAGAACGATCCGAAAATATCAGCAATGGCTTTACGTGAATCCATTTCCGTAATAATCATTTCGTCTTTTCAGTGAGTTTAGAGAAGATCAAAACGTTGAGCTGAATGTACAGTTTTGTGGCGGAACAGGAGATATATTTTTATGGGACCAGCCTTATCCTCATGGAGCCATATAAACTGTTCTACGAAGGTCTTCTTTGTGATTAATGCGACGTTTACTTGAATTTGAAGCTTTGCTCTAAGAGATTACGGGACACCTTTTTGTACATTGACTGTACTAATGTCTATTTTTGGCAAGAGTCATGCAACTGTGTGTGTGTGTGTGTGTTTTTGTTAAATACTGTTTACAAACTAAGACAGGGTTCAGGTGCATTATATTTTGTAAAATATTGAGCATAATGTATGGACAATTTCTATTTTGGCACATTTTCGCAAAGTAATTCTAGCTTTTGAGACAACGGTGCACAGGCACTCAGGTATTTGCATAGGATGTTAAACTCCCCATGTGTTATTTATGACAAAATGCAAGAAAAAATGAATCATATCTGTGTAAAATGTGGTGAAGGAAGGTGAACCCTGTGGAAATGAAGAGACGCTGTGAAGAACATGTATATTTTGTTTTGAGGAATGGGGATGTTTATTAAAGAATGGATGTCACTGCTTCTTGTTGGTCTTTGTATCTCAGAAGTTTTCTTACAGATTCTAAAATGTGTGTGTGTTTGTATATTTTATTACAAACAAAGGTGGTTATGTCATTGAGGGAAACGTGAATATTCTATGTCTGGGTAAAACATTTTCATAATATCTGCTTTAAAAGAAAACACCAATTCAAGTTTGGAAATAAACAAAGCGGCATGAGAAATTTAACTTGTAGTGGGTTATTTTTGTGTTGTGTAGACAGACAGACGTCTGTGTGTGTCTGTGTGTGTGTGTGTGTCTGTGTGTGTGTAAGAGGGCCAGACTTACTCCCAATGTCAGTACAGCAAAGTGCACCGTCTGTGTGTGTGTGTACGTGAGTGCGTGTCTGTGTGGTGTGTGTGTGAGTGAGTGAGTGAATGTCATTGTGTGTCTGTGTGTGTGTGTGTATCTGTGTGTGTGTGTAAGAAGGCCAGACTTACTCCCAATGTTAGTACAGCAAACTGCACTGTCTGTCTGTCTGTGTGTGTGTGTTAAGTGTGTGTCTGTGTCTGTGTGGTGTGTATGCATGGTGTGTGTGTGAGTGCGTGAATGTCATTGTGTGTCTGTGGTGAGTGCATATGTATTCATGGTGAGTGCGTGTGTGTATATGTGGTGTGTGTCTTCGTGTGAGTGTGTGTCTGTGCTTGTGTGGTGTGTGAGCATATGTATTCTTGGCGAGTGCGTGTGTATGCCTGGTGTGTGTCTGTATATAGTGTGTTTGTTTGCGAGTGTGTGTGTGTATGTGGTGTGTGTCTGCGTGAATGTATGCATGTTTGTCTGTGTGGTGAGTGTGTGTGTGTCTGTGTGGTGTGATGAGCGCGTGTGTACGTGGTGTGCATGTGTATGCCTGGTGCGTGTACATGTGTGTGTCTGTACATGGTGTGTGTGTTTGTTTGAGTGTGTGTATTTGTGGTGTGTCTATATGGTGTGTGTGTCAGCGTGGTGTGTGTATGCGTGTGAGTGCGTGTGTATGCCTGGTGTGTCTATGAGTGTGTGTCTGTGTGTATGTATGCGTGTGTGTCTGTGTGGTGTGATGAGTGCATGTGTAGGTGGTGTGCGTGTGTATGCCTGGTGTGTCTGTATATGGTTTTTGTTTGTTTGTGAGTGTGTGTGGTGTGTGTATGTGGTGTGTGTTTATTTGTGTGTCTGTGTGTGTGTAAGCAGGTGGGCGCAGGAGCCTCTAAATGTCAGTGCAGCCGCTTCACCTCCTGCTCCTCAGTCTGAAACGCACACACTCCTGAAGCAGCTGTGTGTAACTGCCCCTGATG